CTTTAACATGGAATGATTCCAAAGGGTCCACGAAAGCAGACAGTGGGTTCGGATGAGAGGAGGACCATGGGATGAACGGTTCAAGTAGCAAGGGAGTGCAAGTGAAGAACAAAGAAACACACAAAGGCATCCAGCGAATCCATGGTCCGCAAGGGCTCAATCAGCGAATGCAAGTACCTGCAGCTGCACCTGTTGCCATACCACTTGACATGCCAACTCATGCTCTGACTTATGCATGGTAGAACTACTGAAGCTGTGCCTGCCCTGCTCTCTTCCTCGTAGGACCCCATCTTTAAAGTGATTAAAACGTACAACCGATTCAGCATGGAAAATTGTTCCAGAATTAACATCGAACATGTTCACTTGCCCGATGATCCTTAATTCTTAATCCTGATGAGTTAACATGGTACCATCCTAACATGCCTTCAAGAACAGTAGGGACCATCCTAATGGGCTCATCAAAGCAGACAGTCAGTTTGGAAGAGGGAGAGACAATGGCAAGAGCAGTTAAAGAAGAAAGGGAATGCAAGAGAAATACAAAGAAACACGCAGATTGCATGGCCGGCAAGGGATAGCTCTCCAAAATGCAACAAGAAAGTGCAAACGCAGAGCACGCAGAATAGAGTTGAGCAGGTGCCCCGCTCGGGTCGGGCCGACCCGACCCGACCCGTGGTTTTGCCCGGGTCGGGTCAAGGTTTCTGAATCTCTGCCCCGTACTGGCCGACCCGACCCGACCCGTGGTCAGACCCGACCCGAGGGCCCATTTCTGGCCGGGCCGAGCCGGGTTTCGGGTCTAAAATGTCGAAATCTGGTCGGGCCAGGTGCGCGACCCGATTTGGACAGGGCTAGGGCCGAGACCCTAGCCCAAATGTAAATCGATCGAGGGGATTTTTTCCCCGTCGATTTACATTCGCCACCCCAGCAGCTAGTGGCCTTCGGGTATTAAGTACCTTCCTTTTAACTATCTCCTATCTTAGGCTTTCCCGCCCAAATGCACATACTTTCAGTTACATTCGTAGATATACGATTCTGGCTGCACTTAGTGCATTTCGCGCAGGTCAATTTCGTAGTTTTTAGGGTACCTAGATTCAAGCGCAACCTCTACTTTCCTTTGACCCCATTACATCCGTGGCGTTTCTGCTGTAGTGGACGCATTTACTGGCAACCGCTGCACGATTTTACATAGGTTCGCGTCGGCCGCTTGCACGGTGACGGGGAATCCGCAAGCACACGTTTTGTCGCACATTGTGATGAATACCCCCAGCCTCCCCTAAGGGGGCGGGTCTGCCTGGCCCAACCTGGCCCTACCCGACCCCGGGTCCCCTTTGACCCGAGTCAGTTGGCCCGGGTCGGGCCAACTGTTTCAAGATTCTGGCCCAAGGTCGGCCCGACCCGACCCAACCCGAGGGCCCGTGAGGCCCGGCCAAATTGGGTCGGGTCGGGACGGGTCGGGCGGGCCACATGCTCAACTCTAATGCAGAATGGTGGAGGGAGAGAAGATGCAGGCACTCAAGTCAAGTCCAGCAAAAGTTGGGGCGCACATGGGGGATGCAAGACCAGCTAGAGTTGGTGCTCTCACATTTTGGTCACCATGCCTTGGGCATCGCAGGTCACATAAGAGGCCCGGCTGCAGTCCCCCCCAGCCACCCACCCAGAGAAATTCTGCCCCCACGCTTGCTGCAAGTCCTGCAGGACTCGCACTGGCAGCAAATGGTGGGGGAGAGGGGTGCAGGAGGGGAAGAGAAGGATAGAAGCTGGGGCAGGGAACAGAGGAGGGATAAATTGGCTCTCATCACCTGCGTGTTGCACCCTTCTCTTCCTCCCGTACTCATCAGCCTGTTCCACACGTGCAGAATGGACGCATGCGATGGTGAAGTAACTACCGTGACTCGCAGACTAAAAGTGCCACAACGATAAGCATTGTGCGCATGGGAGCATGCGCATGCCGTGGCCAGTGACTTATCCGTTGATAAGGACATAAGATGAGAGGTGTAAACAGTAACGAGGTCAAATAGGAGGTATATATCGTTGGGCATGAGCATTCCTGAGCTCTTTTAAGCACTCCACCAAGTTATTTTACTACGAATACTAGTACTCGTGGTCGTAAATGAGCCACAACGCCCTGGTATTGCTGCATCCATCCATGGCAGCAAGCCACCCATACATCAAATCCGCCCCCTATGCTTGCTGGAGTTCCAGCCAGCAGGAGTTGCACTGATTGCGCTAGCAGGTAGGAGAGAGGCTGCAATGGAGCAGGAAAAAGAAGAGATGAATGTATCAGCTCATCAACGCTTCGTATGGCTTTCCCTCCCTCTTTCAACCCCTGCACCAGACATCAGTAGAGCAGAGAGTTGCAATGTCAAACTTGAAATTGGTCGCACAAGCTTCTAAACACCAGGCGTTGGAAAACTATTCTAATAGAAACACAATTCTGATGGATACATGCGATGCGATAGGCTATCGTGGAGCACCGGGCGGGCCGGGCCCGGCCCGGGTCGGGCCCACCCCGGGCTGCGCAAAAAAGCGGGCCGGGCTGGCCCGGCCCGACCCGGGCCATAGAAGGAAACTCTTGGCCCAAGCCCGCCCTCAAGGCGGGCGGGCCGTGCCCGGCCCGGGTGCTGTCATAATCGCCCACAGGATGTATTTTTGGGCTGTTTCTGTTGTATTTTTGCGCTCCGATGCGGCCCGCCCGGCCCGCCTTTATGATGCCCGGCCCGGGGCATTTTCGGGCGGGCCCTGGCCCACTTTCATGCTCATCGCTATCGCTGATGGCGTCACTTGACTTTGATGATCCGCCGCCGTGGCAAGGTTGGTGCCACTGCTGAACCTGAACCCACAATGATCGTGCATGGCATTTTGCTCGTGCGGCATGAGCTCAACCAAAGGAAACACAGCGGAAACTCTGTAGATCAGTATGACGCGCGCTGGCAACCAAGCCGAATGCGTCCGCGTCATGGTGGTGGCATCGTGGTGCGTGAGCCTCTATAGAACCCTTGCTGGAATGCATCATACTACCATCACCAAGGATCCAGAAGACATGAGATTTATCAGCGCAACATACAGGAAGATTAGGTGGTGGGGGTCGAGGGCGGGCCACTGATCCCAAAAATGTTGGCCCCCATACTATGTACTATTAGGTTCTGCTACATTCAATTTTGAAACAGCGATGCACGGCGCGGCTGGCCTGGCCGGCCCAGCGCCTAAGGAGAGGCGCCTTAGCTAAGAAAGAATAAGAGGAGAGTCTTGCAGCAGAAGAAAAGGGAGCTAGGCTGGAGGGAGAAGCCCAGCTCTGGAGACGTAGATGAGAGAAGAGAGAAGAAGACTTGCAAAAAGATAGGATTAAAGACTCCAAGGATAGAATAGGATGAGATTATAATACAAGATTTTGAGGTGGATATTAATGCTAGGAAGAAGGGATGGCGACTTGGGGGAAAACCGTATCGCCACTCAATCTAGCATGGCATCTTGGCATAACGCCTCGATGCCATGTCCTGCTTGCCGATTTTAGTAACATCTAATCACTGACGAGGATAAGGGAAAGGGAGCTACCTAGGCAAAGGGAGGTTCCAACCGTTCGGGTATTCCCATGCACGCAGGCATGGCGAATCCCATCTTGTTACAAATTTGCTCTACAGCTCTTTATCTAGCAGAACAAGTACATAGTACGGGGGTGAAACAAAAGGTTCGTCGGACGAACCTTGGGAGTCGACGAACGGGACACAGCGGACTGGAGAAACCACGGCGAGACACGTCAGGAAGATGAGTAAGCTGAGCCGAATGAGGCGCCCCGCGCCGTCCGAAGTTGCCATCGAGGTGCAGCGACTCCAGGAAATGGTTGTTTTTAATCGTTTGTGAACTTGTGTGCGTCACAGAGCCGAGCCTAATTCTACAGCCTAATATCTGTAGACGGTTAAACCAAAAAAATAGAGTTACCAGCAGACGAGGAATCCCGAGAGGAAGCTACTAAGCTAGGAAATGAAGTGGAGAAGACAGCAGCAGGGAGGTGAGGGTGGGAGTTGAGGGCGATGATGATCGCCCAGTTCCTAGCCAAAATTTCTTTGCAGATCTCTTGCGTGGCTCCAACATCCCAACCAGGGTTGGTGACGTGGAATTAAGATTTTGACGTTGGCGAGTTGCGACCTCCCTATCAGCCGTGGATTGTGGTGTGGATCCCGACGGATGCGAATGGACTGTCAAGTTACCATTCTCTCGCGATTTCTAGGTTGACAGGTTTCTATGGTGGCGTGGCATGCCAGCAGGGCGTGTCCAGCTACCAAAAAATCCCGCCAGGTCTGCGACTTAGACGAATTAGGACAGCAGCTGACCCTGTTTGACGAACACCAACCTCTTCATTCTCTCTCACAGTAACGGAACCAATCGAAACCCCAATGACCCTACAGCAAATCTTCCAGTATACAAAGAGCAAGTAGCTATTGAAGAGGATTTATTGGCACTAGCGACCAGCGATTTGGCGACCTGGCGACATAGCGAACTACTTACTGCTCAGCCCGTGACGTACTGCTGAGCCCGCGACCTGCCTTATCGCGACCTTAAATCGTGAAGTGCTCAAAAACGATATGGTAGAGTTGATAGAGTTCCATCGTGCGAATTTCAAGTTGACTAGAAAATCGGCAAGATGGCACTTGCATGTGATGCTAATCCGTACTAGCTACAGGATGTCAGAACGTGGTAGAACATTCGTATTACGAAGGGGACATCACTTTCGCACCTCCTCCCCACTCCCCATCCTTCTTCGCCCTTCCACAATCCCTCCCGCGCGTCGGCGCCGCCGCAAAAGGCACGAATGCGCAATTGACAGCAGGAGGCATCAGAGAAAGAAACGGTGCTCTATTCTGCCGGCCTCCCTCCCGCAGCTTCCTGCCAATTTCTTACTTTCCTGGCCATGATTCTTCCACTTGCTTGTTGGATAGTCTTAATAGAAACATAAACTTTCGCCCAGTCAGCGGTAGTAGCACTAACACTGTTGGCGGTCATCCCTAATGTTTCCTATTTGGCGACGGCGAGTCGAGCGAGTGTCCCGTGCGTCGCCAACTGCTTTGCGAGTGCCGAAATTGTAGGTTGCGAGAGGCGGCCTCCCGAGCATCGCGGGCGTCGAAGCTGCACGAGCAGCTGGCGATGGCGAGTCAATATGACGAGCAACGGCACCGTCATCGTCATCGCCGCTTTTGACAACTCTCATAAGTCATCGACGCTGCTGAAAGGATAGCTCAATCCCTGCTCCTTGTTTCCTCCCTGCTCCTTTCCCCATGCTTGTTCCCTCCCTGCTCCTCACCAGATTTTGCTCCTTATCCTCATTCTGTACGTGTTGCGAGGCAATATCCATTTGCCATGTACCCTTCCGGGCGGCCATTTCGTCGTCTTTGCCGTTGACCATTCTGCCCGATCAGGTGCGTCCTGCTCAGAGCACAATCAGTGTCCTGTTGAGGTGACGTATGGCTGGGTGCTGCATGGCTGGGTGCTGCATGGCTGGGTGCTGCATGGCTGGGTGCTGCATGGCTGGGTGCTGCATGGCTGGGTGCTGCATGGCTGGGTGCTGCATGGCTGGGTGGTGTTACACGCTTGGCTGGTCGTCACCTTCCCGCGCTACATGCCGGTCCCAAGCTGGACCAGTTTCCTTCCCCTGCCTTTAGTCGCAGTGCTACCCGCAGCAGCACGCTAGACAGCAACAGTGCTGTGCGTATAGGCAGCATAGCTACCTCCAGAGGTATGACTTGCAGCAGCAAGCTCGGCAGCACTGGTGGGAGTATGTGGACTCCACATGGCAGCAGCATCGGTTTTACCACCAGCAGCAACGATAGAAGCTGCAGTGGCAGCAGAGGCGATGGTGACGACAGTTTATTGCTGCCAGGGGTGAAGCACATTGTGGCTGTGGCGTTCACGAAAGGTGGCGTCGGCAAGTCCACCACTGCTGCTGCACCTCACTGAATCACCGCCTCACCGCCTCACCGCCATGCCCCTCGCCGCTTCCTCTCCGCTCATCATATCCCACCCTCTCCTCCCCCTCCTCTCCACTGCCCTTCCCATCCGCCTTCGTCACCTGCCTATCACCCTCCCCACCCCCCTCCTGTTCCCCCTCCCCACCCACCTTCCCTTCCTCTCTAACCCATCCCCCTGCCCACCCCCCCTTCCCGTCAGCCTCCCCATCCCCCTTTCCTTCACTGCATGTCGACAGGCTCCCATACACGCTGTACTCACCCCTGCCTTCTTCCACACATACCTTTCACCCCATTCTATCACCCCCTTTCTTTCCTAAAATCCCTCTCGCCCCATGCACCTGACCGCGTGCCTCCCCCTGTATGCCTCTTCCACCGTGCCCCTCACCCCGCACCTCTCAAGGCATGCCTCTAATCGCATGCCCATCTTCCCTTATCCCCCCATCCCCGCATCCCCCTCATTTAACCATCCCACATTCCCTCCTCCCCTCCTCCCCCCAATCCCATCGTCCCCACCCCCTCCCCCACCTCTCCCTCTTTCCCCCACATTGAACCTGGCAGTGGCACGGCACTCGCAAGTGGGGCTGCTGGACGCTGACGTGTTCGCCCCTCACTGCCCAACCTGCTTGGCCTGCACATTGTCGCCTCCTCCCCCTTCTTGCCCGCTGGGCCTGGAGACTGCCGGCTGCCCCCTGCTCGCCTCGCCCTTCCCCCACGCATGCAGGCGCACGGCATGCTCTGCATGTCCGCTCACGTGGGCTGGGAGTGTGGGCTTCCTCATGCCTGCACACGTGGCGACCGTATGGCGTTGGCCCATGGTGATGTGATGGCGGCAGTGGAGAAGCTTGTAAGGGGGACGGAGTGGGGGGGATGGACGTGCTCGTGGTGGACATGACGCCCGGCATGGTGACGTGCAGCTCACCTTGAGCCAGCGGTCAGGCTGTCAGGTGTGTGGCAGATGGGATGGGATGGGTTCGGATGGGTTGGGATGGGAGGGAATGGGTTGGGATGGGAGGGGATGAGACGGGAGGGGAGGGGAAGGGAGGACATAAGATGGGATGGGTTGGGTCGGCATGGGAGGGAAGGGAAGGAGATGGGATGGAATGGATTGGTTGGGATGGGATGGGATTGGTGCAGCGAGTAGAGGAGGAGATGGGATGGATGGGTGGGATGGAGTGAGGCTAGCACAATGGAAGGTAGGGAGGGCATGACCGTGGGAGTGGGTGGATGCATGAGTGGTGGTGGCCATACTGCATGGCATGGCAGCAGGGGGGTACAACAGGGGAGGGGCAGCAGGGGAGGGGCGGCTCGGCTTCTAAGGCCACACTGCCTGCCCATGCTCTCAGCTCTGCTGGCGATGCCCATGCTCCCATGCGGTCACTTCCACCAGCAGCTCGGGCGGATGAAAACGGTGGGGCAATGGATGTGGTGGTGGTGATGATGGCCATGGACGCCACCAGCAGTGCTGGGAGCACGAAGGCACTGGAGTGTGATGGGTGCACAACCCCAGCTGCACATCCCTACTGCCTGCCCGCTCACCTGCCTAGCACTATGCCCGCTGACTCCCTCCCACTGCTGCATTCGCTTCATTTGCTCGTGGCGCTTCATTTTCCACTCTTCTGTCGCTCCTGTTCATTGCTCACCACCCTCACCAGGAGTGGTGGTATCGACGCCGCTCAGGACCTCACACTGATGGATGTGCAGCGAGGAATGAATATGTCCTGACAGATCAACGTGCCGGTGGTTGATGGGGTGGTGGGACTGTGTGAGTGAGTGGAAGTCGTGTCAGCAAGTGAATGTACCTGTGGGCTGTTCGTACTCCAATGACCGGTTGCCTCACTTGTTGAGAGAACCCGGTGGAATTGGTCATGGCGGAGGTGGGTGGGGCGGGTACCTGGCAGAGGCAGGTTGCTCGAACAGGTGGTTCCTGGGGATTTGCAAAGCAATTCTTTTCAGTGGGTTTGTGGGAGAAGTGGTTTGGCTCTTTCATTTGTTCATGGCAAGGGTGGTTCATGACAGAGGATTAGGTGCTTGCCCTGTGACCCTTTTCCTTTTGTTTTGTTCATCACAACATACCCCTCCCACTCTTGGCCTATTTTCCCCCTTCCACCCTTCCCCGGTTGTGAATCTCTACTTTCTTACCCTGCACGCTTTCATTTGTCTACTCCCTACGGCTTCCCTTTCTCCTCTGCCGGCACCCGTCCCCCACCCCTCTTTCACCCGCCAATCCCCGTTCTTCTGAATTCTCCCGCCATCCATCTGCAGCCAATCCGACAACGGCCGCTGTCTTACTCTCGGCGCTTCGGCTGCTGCTGCAAGCGGGAGAGAAGGCGGGGCGACAGACAGTGGGGACAGCTGTAGACGGGGCAGCAGTCGATGGCGTGGCAAACGGTGGGGCGTCAGAAAAAAAGGGTGGGGGGGAGGGGGTGACGGCGGGAGGGAGGGAGGATGGGTGTTGGGGAAGGGGAGGGTGAGCAGGGGGAAGAGGACAGAGGAAGGGACAGATGCTGGGAGTGGTGTGTTAGAGGCGGCAGTGGTGGTAAGATATGAGCGCCTGGTGAGTGGCTCTGTCTTCCTTGCCTTGCCCACCGTTCCCACCCCTCTGTGCCTACCTGGTCACTGCCTCCCCTGTCAGCACACCCATCCCACGGATCCTTGCATGCGGCGTTCATCCGTGCACCCGCCTCAGCTACCAGCTGTCTCACCAACTCCCTTTTCACCAACACCATGCGCCCATCTCACCAACGCCCTTTTCACCAACACCATGCGCCCGTCTCACCAACGCCCTTTTCACCAACACCATGCGCCCGTCTCACCAACGCCCTTTCCACCAACACCATGCGCCTGTCTCACCAACGCCCTTTTCACCAACACCATGCGCCCGTCTCACCAACGCCCTTTCCACCAACTCCGTGCGCCCGTCTCACCAACGCCCTTTTCACCAACACCATGCGCCCGTCTCACCAACGCCCTTTTCACCAACACCATGTGCCCGTCTCACCAACGCCCTTTTCACCAACACCATGCGCCCGTCTCACCAACGCCCTTTTCACCAACACCACGCGCCCGTCTCACCAACGCCCTTTTCACCAACACCATGCGCCCGTCTCACCAAAGCCCTTTTCACCAACACCGTGCGCCCGTCTCACCAACGCCCTTTTCACCAACACCATGCGCCCGTCTCACCAACGCCCTTTTCCCCAACACCATGCACCCGTCTCACCAACGCCCTTTTCCCCAACACCATGCGCCCGTCTCACCAACGCCCTTTTCCCCAACACCATGCGCCCGTCTCACCAACGCTTTTTTCCCCAACACCATGCGCCCGTCTCACCAACTCCCTGTTCACCAACACCATGCGCCCGTCTCACCAACGCCCTTTTCACCAACACCATGCGCCCGTCTCACCGACGCCCTTTTCACCAACACTATGCGCCCGTCTCACCAACGCCTTTTTCCCTTGCCCGCCCCCCTGCTTCTCTGTCTGTCCTTTGCCAGCCCTCCTCCCAACCTACCACTCCTCTGACCCCTTCATCACCTCCTCTGCGTTTGATGTGGTTTCCAGCAAGTTTCGCTTACTCCCCTCAGTCCTCTTCCGCCTCCCCTCCCCGGCTGGCTCCCTTGACCTCCACCCATTCCACAGCTTGCTGCATCCTGAGTGGTATTCTTTCTCGCTCGGCCTTCCCCATCCTCTCCTCGCCTCCTGGTAGAAAAGGCCCTTCCTCCACCCACACCCCGCTCCCCCCAGGTCACCCCAGGGGGCGTGGTGTCCGGTGTGTGCCACGGATTGCCAGCAATGGAAGGACTTCACAGCTGGCAGGTTGAGCTGGCATGCCGCGTGGAGGGGCGAGGAGGGGCGGGGGGAGAGCGAGCAGCAACAGAAACAGCTTTATTCCGAGAAGCAGCATGGGGGATGCGTGTGATGCCCGCAGAGACAGTGAAGGCAGCAGTGGGAGGGCAGTGTGGTGGGCGGGGCATGGCATGATGGCAGCAAGGGTGCACTACAACAAGGTGCTTACACAGGACATTCTGCTCGCCCTCGCTGCTTACACCCGGTCAGACGCTCACTCATTCCACAATCCATTTCACTCGTTTCACGAACTAAGGAGGGGAGGAAGGGGGGGATAAGGGGGGGTGAAGGGGGTGGGGGGGGAAATGGAGGAGGGAGGGGGATGCCGCACAGTGGGTGGTGTATTTCTGTGTTTCTGCCTGAAATTCCACTTAGCCTGCCCAATCCACCTCTTCTGTATCATGTGCACGCTTTTGTATGCAACCAATCGTGCACTGTTTGAAATGCGCACGTTCCAACTTGGCAGAGGAGAGTCGGCGCTGCACATACTCCAAGCGTCCTTTGAGGAGTCTGTACTTTCACCTCCCCAACCTCACGTTCCGCCTTCTTCCCTCCCATATCAGCCATCAACTGCTCCTAGCAGTCTGCACTCGGAAAGTTCCAGCAGCCACATGATCGGTCTTAAATGTGCGCTCTAGCAGGGGAAAGGGTGCTAGGGTTACTTCTGTGGGCGTGCCCCTCATCTCATCCCATGCTCGAATTCATACCTACCTAAATCCATTACCTCTATCGATACCTCATCCTAAACCTCACCCCATGCCTCATCCAATGCTTCGTCCCTTCATTCCCTGCCTCATCCATCATTCCCACTAGTGTCTCCTGCCTTTCAGCCAGCTGTGAGCAGTTTTGGTATACAAAACCGCTATTTTCTCACAAAACTGCTGTATGCTTATGCTGGAAATTTTCTGCATGTGAGCCACATGACCAGCCATGTGTGTGAATTTTGATCCCATCGATTACAGCACATTACAAGAAGAGGGATAGATGGAATGGAAGTCTTCATTGCCTGGATCCCACTCAAATCCGTAAATCGTTTAGGGAGCAGGATCACGTTGCACATGCACTGCTGCAGGAGCAGCTGCAGCGCCCAACCCCAACGCCTGTAGTAACAGCATTGTGGTCGTTGTGCCTATAGCAACTCCCCCCACCCAACTCAGCTTCTCCAACGCCCGCGATTATCCTCCCTGTCCTCTCCCATGTGCCTTTCAGCTGTCAGCAGCTCATTTCTACAACTCCATCGCACCGTGCCCAGCACTCCACTCCACAACACCCTCTTTCCTCTGTCGTCTCCCTCTTGCCATTCACTCCGTAGATGAACCAGCTGTCCTCCCCATCTCAGCTCCTCCCCATCTCAGCTCCACCCCATCTCAGCTCCTCCCCATCTCAGCTCCTCCCCATCTCAGCTCCTCCTCATCTCAGCTCCTCCTCATCTCAGCTCCTCCCCATCTCATGTCCTCCTCATCTGCCCACCGTCACCCTCCCATTTGCTTCCACACCGACCCAGCCGAGCAGCATCATCTTGGTATGGGAGCATCAAGGGGAAGAAGATAGCCATCTTGTTATCTCTTCTTCCCCTTCATGATCCTTTTATTCTTTTCCGTTCACATTCTCATTTTCCCGCTCTCTCCCTGTAACCTTCCTTGTCTCTCTATGCCCTCCCTTCTGTGATTCTTACAGTCAACAACTATTCCCAGCATCCCCTGCCACCCAGTTCATCCCGTTGTGTTATGCCCTTCACCCTACTATGTCGTGCCCCTCATTAGATCACCCCATGCACGAACCAGGTGTGTGTCCCTTTCCCGTTTGTATCCTCCTATTCTACCCGCCATTGCTTCCCCATTGCCTCATGCATACTCTTGCTCCTCTACCCACCATCCCAGCCAAGCAGCAGAGTTGGAACCGCTTTGCAAGTGCACCCCATCCCATTCCTCATCCCATACATCATCCCACACCTCACCCCATACCCATTCCATACCGCATCCGATCCCGCATCCCATACCCCAAATCATGCCTCATTGCATACCTCATCTCATTCCTTGCCCTTACCGTCATTTCATATGTCATCCCATGCCTCATCCCATTTTTAATTCCATACCTCATCCCATGCCTCATCCCATTTTTCATTCCATGCCTCATCCCATGCCTCATCCCATGCCTCATCCCATACCTTATATCTCATCCTCCCTATCCTCTCCTCCTTCCTTCTAGCCAGCTGTTAGCAGTTTGATCATACAATCGCATTATGCCCTGCGCTTCATGCCTTTGGGTCATGCCCCTTCTTTGTGTCCCTCCCCGTCCGGGACCCCCATCTTTCCCGCCATCACGACCCAGCCAAGCAGCAGCACTGTAGCACCTGCAGGCAGCACCTCTCTCTCCTTCCCACATCACCAACACCACGACTGCCTGTGTGTCTCTTCCACGTGCCCCTTGTCCTCTAGTACCGCTCCTTCATATGTCTCCTCAATATCTGTCACCCTACCCCCTCCACCTCCCCTCTCCTCCCACACGCCCCTCCTTCCTTCTTGGAGGTTGGTTGACAGTGGCAGTGGCGAGGTGCCGCACACACTCCAATTTCCTTCCAAGCTTTGAATGACAAACTTCTTACCTATTCATTCCCTACTAGCCTTAACTCGACTTAGAGGAGAATAGGGCGAGTTAGGACCGTTGGATCCAAGTCGGATCTATCCTTTTATACTCCGATTTCCTTTCAAGCACTCTTCTTCTCGCCCTCCTGGCACACCGTCCCTCCCCATTCTCGCCCTCCTGGCACACCGTCCCTCCCCATTCTCGCCCTCCTGGCACACCGTCCCTCCCCATTCTCGCCCCCTAACTCCCCTCAGCTATTCCTTGTTGCACGTGCATAATGCCTCGCCCTTCTCACCCCATTACAATGATAGCAAAGCAACTCAGTGGATGTAATGTTTGTAGCACCGGCGATACAATTTATGGCTGGTCTGGGGTCCGCGCATGCTCGAAACCGCGCATGCTGGTGTGTGAGCCACATGACCAGCCATATCCGTGAGTTTAAATTCAGTTGATGATGAATAGGCCCTAACAGTGTGTTCTCATGGGAAAAGGTAGTACAGGGGCAGCTGTGCCGTGCTCCACATCCCATACCCCAACGCACACCTAACTTCCATACCTCTTCCCATACGTTACTTTCATCTTAGCTGGTGCAGAAATTGTGTTTATCTCTGCGGTGACATGGTGCAGCACAGTACAAGAAAACAGTGAGATGTAATGGAAGTCTTAATTGCCTGGATCCCACTCAAATCCCTTCCAGTTGGAGGGGATGGAAGTCTTTGTTGCTTCTTTCACTCTGCAGCCGCTTGCTGTAATTCACAACAGGCTGCTGAAGGCAGTGGTGGGTGGCACAAGCATTGAGGGAAAAGCGTGACTTCGAGAAGGGAGTATGGCGATCAAATTGAGGCTCAAGTGCGCAGAAGCATGCATCACAGGTTCCCCTTCCCATGCAGACACAGGTGCACATTTTCCTGCTTCACCTCTGCCATTTGTGCCATGTCACACACCCAGCCAACAGACAGACCCCCCCAAATGACCAGCTGCCACTCACCACCTTGGATCCATGTATCGTGATTGTGCAGATTTGTCAAAAGAACGAGTGTGTCTATTCTATTGTCTTGAGATGATATTCATGGATCATATTGGAGCAGCATCAATGACTCGTGGTTACACATGCATATCTTAAAATTGGCTCATGCTTTGGCAGGAAGGAATGCATTGCATATCGTGCTGTTGCTAGGAGTACCGTACAAAGACATTGCACAGCCTGCTGCACTGTAAAACAAGCAGGCATACCATGCAGCTTTCCCTCCACCTGGTATCTTGCCCTACACATTCAACTGTCTGACTGCAAGGTACATGGCCAGAAGGTTACTTTCCAAGTTTAAACAATATGCAAGTACAGCATTACCACTCTGCCTCATCCCTCCACATTCTTCACATGCCTTGACTCCATGCCTCTCATCAGTCCCCCTCTAGGCAGTCACCGCCAACTCTTCCCTCACCTCACCTCGCTTTCCATCATCACTCACTACCACTTTCTGTTTATCCGCCAGCGTACGTCACCATCCAAATAAAAATCCCCTCCTGGCAGCGAGAGATTTGTCAGGTTGGTCAGGGCAGACAGGTGCCGCAGCCCAGCATCCGTGACTGCTGTGCCATCTAGAGAAAGATCCTCAAGCCCTGTCAGCTTCCCCACATGCACCATGCCAGCATCTGTCACACTTGTGCACTTGATAAGGACCAGCGCATTCAGAGAGGACAGAGCTGTCAAGTGTGCCAGGCCAGCATTGGTCAGCTTGGCATTATTGAGATACAGGTACTTGAGACTGGTCAAGCACCAAATGCCTTCCAAGGCATTGTCTGTTATATATTTTGCGCAAAAGAGGTCTAGCATCTCCAGCTGTGGCAGCCTGTAGAGGTGCTTGATGCCCTCTGCACTGAAACCTGAGCTATGCTGCAATACAACTCCCCTCAGATGTGCCATTGTGGACACATGCCCGAGGATGTCGTCTGAGAGGCGGTGGCAATGCCTCAGGTCTAAACTGAAATATTTTGATGCTGTCTTTATTGCCTGGAAGAAATGGGTTGAGAGGGAAAATTTGACAGAACAAGGGGTGAATATATGGCGATAAGACAGAACTAGCAAGCAGTGAATGCCAAGTGGAACAAGGCATGCCTGTGCAACAACGCACTCTGCACTCACCTCCAATGCTTTCTTCCGATCACCTTCACTCTGCCTAATTTCCAGCTCAACATTCAACTTCAAATCTTGTATCCTCTGCCCTTCATTACAGGCTGCCGATTCCTCCGTGGCATGTGGCCAATTCACCTCCTGCACCTCCCTCCTCCTCTCCTCCGCTGTCTCTTCTTTCCTTCTCTTTCTACTCTTCCCTCTTAGCTCTATTTCATCCGATGCCCTGCTGAACTCAGCCGGTTGCTCTACTCTTGAGTCCATGAGTTCCGCCAACTGCCCCTTAACCGCTTTCAACTCCCCCTTAACCGCTGCCAACCCCCCCTTCACTGCTTTCAACATATGCCGCAACTCATCCAACTCCTCGTTGTGCCCAGTCAGCTCCTCCCTCACTGCTGCCAGTGCCGCCTCTTTGACC